TATTATAAAAATAAAATAAATAAGGAGGCCCTAAGATCACTGAAAACCATCTTGTAAGAATCTTTCTTTTTTCCACAAAACATTGTTGGCAATGAGGAGACAGGTTTTAGGATTTTACACCTCTTGGTCAATTCCCTCCTGTTCCTTGAAGTAGCAGATTATCAGGGCATCTTCTTTATTCTTTGAGACTGTATGCTATGAATCAGTCATGTCTGCTATGATTAAGAGTCCACAAAGTAGTTCTATCTCCATATCTGTTTCTCTCTCCTTTTATCCCTCTACAAAACCTTGCTTTGCAAACATATTAGGTTGCCAAACTAAAATTGAAGTTGAACATCCTTGCTGTTCAGCAAGTCCCTATCCATTTCCCATAGAAACAATAGCCAGAGTTTTCTGTGGCTGAGACTTCTGTGAGACAACTGATGGGACATGGCATTCCCCCTGGAAATGCAGTCTCCACTATAAACCCTTTTCCTATTACCACTGCTAGTGGTATCACTCATGTTGTTTCTCATGAGAATAATGCAAACAAAGCAAAGCAAAGGTTCCGTGAGCATTTCTTACAGTGACTTTAACAGAGCAGGCCAGGCTTCCACAGCATCATCACTTAAGTTTGATGAACTAGGAGAAACAGCCTGTTCATCTGGTCAGAACCCTGTTGCAGCCTCTCACTTGCATCTATGGACACGGAACCCTGCTGGGAGCAGCCCTCACCCTGTATAAGCCTGGAGTGGCTCTCTGCAGCAGAGAAGAGAAGGGTTTGCAGAGTTAGTCCACAGAGACCTTGATCCTGCATTCAAAATTCATCTTCCCAGCTGGGCATAAGTCACATTCCTACAATCCCAGCACTCAGGAGGGGGAGACAAGAGAATTAAGGAGTTCAAGGTCATCCTCAGATACATAGTGAGTGTTGTGAGGTGCTTCACCAGAGAAAACCACTCAGACAAGTTTTATTGAATGAAAATCTTTTCTGGCTAGCAGCTACACAAGGGTGTTGGAACCCAAGTGTGTAGTCCTGAGCCATCTCCAGGGTAAGCTTTTATACAGAGAAACCATAACCAGGGGTGAAAAGTTGAAGTTCCCAAGCTTACAGGTGCAAAGCCCCCTGAACAATCTCTATTCTATTAAGCAACAATTACTATTTTGCAGAAGCAAGCCAAGTGCAACCTACAGAAGCCATAAATCTGCAGTTAGCAGGTGCACGCCAGCACACGCTGACCTGTTCCCAAGACAACTGGGGTCCTGCTGACGTGTGTTCCCATACCAACTGCCTGATAATTTCAGAGACTACAGTCAGCCTAAACTTTAACATGGCATAGCTATGGTCAAGAAGGTGCCATATCACAGTGAGTTCAAGGTCAGTTTGGCCTACATGAGACCCTGTCTCAAAAAGCTTACAAAAAAAAAAAAAATCATTCTCCAAAGTCTAGTGCTAAGTAAGATGCCTGCAGTTCCAGCTACTCAAAATGCTGAACAGGAAGACTAGTTACATTCAGAGTTCTGAGGCTAGCCTGGGCAACAGAGTGGGGTCCTGTCTCTGAATCAATCTATCAGTAAATCCATACTCCATTAAATAACCTGAAAAGTAACCACTCTGTATAATCCATATAACACAGGAACATACTTTGTACCTGGAAGTGATCATGATCTTTCTCCCCTCCAATGCCTCCAGAGAAACAAGATCAGAACAGGAATGAAATGCCATTCAGATTTCTGACGGGAGCTTGGCTGTAAAAGTGTTTGAATTTTAATCCACACCACACATCTGAGCACTCTTGGAAAGAGTGACTGCTTCAAAGCTACTGCTCTCTGCAGGTCCCCTCCTCAAGAAAGAAAAACTGAAAGTCGTTACTCTTCCATTCATCAAATACTTTAACACTAGCAGCATTCCAGATGAGAAGGCTGCAGAGACTCAGTTCTTAAAGCCTTCCTCGTGTCAAACACTGAGGAAAATCCTCTTCTAAGAATACACTACAGGGACATGAGAGTCCAAGAAGCAAAAGGAAAAGGCGGTTCTCTAGACTGTCTATATCTTGTTTTCTTCTTAGTACTAGTTTTGAATTTTTAATTTGTGAGAAAGGGAAGGAGCAGAGATTTCCCTCTTACCCATCAAACTGAAGCAAAGCAAGGAAGACAGAAACAGAGGAGGGAGCGATTTGCATGAGTCTATCCAGAGAAGAGACCTAAAGGTTACTAGAGACAGCCCCTAGGGAGGAAGAAAAAGCAGCTTTGAAAATGAAAATGAGTGTTTTCCATTAAAAGAAGGTCATGGTGTTCTTCATAACAGAAGCAGAAGACAATTTTGAAGCACAATTTGAATAGATGCTCTTTGGAGAAGGTCCCAAGACAAGGTAAAAATGCCCAATGCTCCTCCCTTAGCTAGATGGCCAGTTGCAAGATGGCCACTTTGAGACAGAGCAGAGGGCCCGGCTGTTCTTCTCTGCACTTGTATCTCTCAGAAAGCAGAACACTTTACAGAAAATTTCATAAGGGCCCCAGGAAGAGTCACAGAATCTAAAGGAAACACTAGTGTTTCTTCTTCTTCCTCTTCTTCCTCCTTTTCCTCCTCCTCCTCTTCCACCTCCACCTCCACTTCCTCCTCCTCTTTGTGGTTCTTTCTTCTTCAGAGGAGGAGGGGGAACAGAAGAGAAAGAAAAAGAGGAAGGGAAGAGGAGGATATGGAAGAAGAGCAGACGTACCTCCAAAGCCAGGGAGGAAGAGCCACCCAGTTTTCATCATTACTTGCTCCAGGTCTGAAAATGGGTAAGACTCAAAATGATATGTCTCAGACAAAAATAACACAATGAGCCAGGCATGGTGTGCACAGCTTTGATTCCAGTGCTCCAAAGGCAGAGGCAGAGAAAGGTAGATTTCTGTGAGTTCCAGCTGGGGCAACAGAGAGACCCTGTCTCAAAAATAAACAAAAAAATGACAAAATGAATTTTCAATTTGTCTTTTAATCTAAAGATTATGGTGATGATGCATGCATTTTTTAACTAGGTAAAATATGAAAAAGCAAATGGGTCTTAGTGTAAGTTAAATTTATGAGTACAGAGAAAAATACAAAGTTTTATTAACTGTGGAAGGAATGTAGGCCTCGCTACCCAGCCAGCCTACAAAGACAAAAGAGATAAGTTTATGGGGGTTAAATAAATGCAAGATTTTATGTTATAGATACAATTAAGCCATTTGCAACCAGTCTAAGAGTTGAAATCAGCTTACACTGTTCAGTCTCTCCTGGCACACACAATGGGTGTCCAGGGCTGGTGACAGGCAGGGCATGATGCTCACAGCCAGGCCCACTGTGCTAGACCCACGCACCTCTGCACTTCTCTCCTGATTATTTTTTTGTATCAGCACATGTAGCCTGTTCTGGAATCCTAGACATACCCGAGTTGAAGTTTAGTAACCAGTCTTCCAGGAACAGGAAGTTGTGAAGAAATGTGTTAAGAAAAAGCAAGGGCAGCCATGCCTAGAAGGTGGGGACAGGAAGCAGGCATCGACTGCCAAAGAAAGACAAGATCTATGAACTGGTCGATGGTGCCACTCTCACTGGACTGCTCTATGTGGCTGTGTGTGAATGCACATGGTGCCAGGCCAGCAGGCTGAACCTGGAATTCTGTGCGTCTGAGACAAGGCCAGAGACTGCTTTTCCCCCAGAAGCCAAGACCCACACAAACGAACCTTTCCTCTTTAAATACCATTTGGTTAAAAAGCATGTTAATTGGTGCCAATTATTGGCTTGCCAGCAACTGCTACAGATTAATATTTCAGGAGTTAGAAACCCAGCTGAGCACGGAAGTGTGAACTTCGGAGTTAAGATTCATATTTCAAATCAGAGAGAGAGATTTCTCAAAGAGGAAGAGGCTCCTTCAGACTTCTTGCTGATAGCCTCTGGAAACGGCAATACCCACACACAAAAGCATGACAAAGCTGCCTTGTGTGGCCCTGCCAGGACATGGTGTCCCGTTACAGTTCGAAATGCCCCAGTTCTCCAGCAAAAACATACATGCTTAAGCTTCCAGTAGTGAAAATGTGTTTTCCTAAATCAGTTTCTAAAGTGATAACCGGTACTCCTCCCAAAAGCCAAGGCCGCATCACAGAAGGAACAGCTTGGAGTTTTCTCTGCCCCTTATTCTGTTTGGTTTCCTGAGAAGCCCCAGAAAACTGGACGGTCACCCTATGAGGCTGAGGGTTGGGGTGGTGTGGTATTAATTATCCAACTACTGCTATCCAACCATCTTAAACAAACAACCACCCCCTCTGGTTCTCTCACTACAAGCAGGCTGGCCACTACGGCTCCCACTGTGTTCCCATAGGTTCCCACTGGGACCCAGACCTCCCAGGACAACTCCAGGACCCCCAGCTCCCACTGGTCTTCCGCTGCCCCCATCTGTCCGGCTGCACTGCACCCGCTCCCCAGGCCTCCCCGAAATCTCCCCAAACTTTACACTTCAGCCTTGATTGATTCTCCTCCCACTCCCTAACCCTTCCTCAAAAACCCACACCCACCTCCCCCAGCTTCCCGAGGCCCCCCTCCACCTCCTCCCCACCAGCTCCAGGCTCTGGAGCCCCTTGCCTCCTCCCAGGCTCAAGCCACAAGACCCACCCCCGGCCCCAGGCTCCGGCCTCCCCCTTCCTCCCTCCCAGCAGCGCTCCCAGCCTGCCTATCATCTTGCCCTAATTGTTTCCAGATTCGTGTGGGAGGTCAGGGCCCGGGAGTGCTGCTTCATGCCAAGTTTATAAACAGAGCAGTGTTTCCAGATGGCCGCTGGCTCCAGCCTGGCGAGCAGGTTGATTGGGACCAGAATAACAACAGGTGGAGCGCAGACAATGAGTTCCTTGACACTTATTTACTCCCTTGGCGTTTTCTTCCCTCGCAGCCCTCCATTCCGCCGGCCACAGCCACCACCACGGATTTCCACGGCGTCAAATAAGAAAGGGTAAGCGGGGGGAATGCGAAAGCAAACAAACTATTTCCCTAATGAGCACAGACGGGGGGAGGGGCGAGGCCCTGGTGAGCAGAGACCATGGCTGTCAGCTGGCTAACGCACAAGGTGGGTCATCCCTGAGGACCAGGATGCTGGAAGAACTGACCAGGAGGCCCAGACCATGTTGTGGGACTCAAGGAGAAGAAGTGGGGGGTCCGCGAGGGGCTGCCTGGCAGACCGTCCTCCATCGCTCTGCTCCTCTTGGCCCAACTGCAGGCTGTTTTATGAAGTGAAATGAAGGGCCTCGGGAAAGCCGCGAAGGCACCAGATGCCTCTAGTTAAACCCGGCTGGTGCAGTGAGATGCCTCTAGTTAAACCCCTCAGCCACTGCAGCGGGCTCACAAGGGGCGCAGTCAATTACAAAGTCCCCAAAGTCCGGGGTCCAGACAGAAGAGCCCAGCCAGGGGGTCGATTACCAGGCAGCCTTCAGAGCGAAGGGGGGCGAAAGGGTGGGAAGGAGGAGGGCCTGCGTTTACAATCCTACAACAATCCTTCCCTGCAAAAACTGACTAGTAGGAGCCAGTCCCCCTGGAAATAAGGCACATAAATACCAGAAGTAAGTTTTAAGGGTCTCCACGCCAAATCTAGATTATCTCTGTGCGTCTTTTGATTCTGAGTTTCTGCTTATAAAATGTAACCCGACACTAGGGCTTTGAAGCTTGGGATCCAGGACCAGGACTTGGCAATTTATCTGAACTGACAGAGCAGAGCCCTAGGGGCCAGGCAGACCGCCCCCCTCTTCTGTCCCCACCCCCTGCATTGCATCGCTGAACTCTGAATGTCTCCACTCAGAAGAGTTCCCTTCACTGCAAAGGAAAGGTCTGTAATGGCCTGTCTAAAAGGCCATGCTTGGTATTTCTCTTGGTAAATGCACAATCTTTACATAGACTATAAATCCATGTTTCTTTAATTACCTCCGCTAACTTTTCTACAGAGCACTTATTGAAGTTTTTATCCCAAAAGCTCCAAGTCTTATATAAGGAATTCTTTAAAAAAACAAACACGCCTTAAACTAAAGAGCACACAATGAGTTAGAGGGGGTATATTCACAACAGGAAACAAATGGAGACCCTAGAGATGGGAGGCAGGGCAGAAAGCGAGAGCTTGGTGCAAGAATCGTTCACATTCCAATCCTATAAAGTCACTGGTCGAAGGGTGAAGTCAGATCCCCTCAAAGGATGTTTACCCTTGCAGGAGCATCTGGAAGATTCTAGAAACTTCTTGGAGAAGTTTCCAAGTGACAGGTGCCCCACACAAACATTTAGCTTCCACCAAATTCAGAAATATCAGCAAGAACCTTATTTTTCATAACACTTGAATGCTGGCACATGATAACCCATGCACATTGGGAACAAGATCGCCCCCAAAACTGAAGTGGCAACAGCTGAAGAGAATTCCACCCCCACAGTCCTGGATAGAGTGCCTCACCACACCGCCCTGTGGCTGAAGGCGGCTGTCAGAAGCCAGCATCATGACCACCCCTATTCTGTCTTCAGCTCATACACCAAGACTGAGCAGCCATCAAGCCCTGCCATGCCAGCTGTGGCCTCCACTGAATTCACCAGCATGGGACTCACAATTTGTTCCTCCAGGTTAAACCGAAAGCTACTTTTATAGCTTAAACACTGTATGCTCACTGCAGAGTGGAATTCTTTTTTAGTTCTGTCTACACAAGGAAAGATATGTTTTAAAAGAAAAGGAAATTAAAAGGAAAAAGAAATGGATCTCATGACAACATATAGAGAGTGGAAACATTGCCAGTGGCACAGCTTTTCCTGATTTCATAGATAAATGAGAAGTTCCTACTTTGGAATAGGTGTTGACTGCCGTGGACTGTGAAGGCCTAGACTCAAAACCGTTCATGTTTTTGCAATTACACTGGGGAAAGAAACTTTTTCATCAGAGACCTTTCTTTAGTAAGCTAGAATTTATCGTGCCTTTGTAAATGTAAATCAAGGTGGCTCAGCTAACATGATGGATGTGTTTGTTGTTTTCATACACTGCTGATTTTCTGAAGTCAAAGAACATAAAGTAAGGATGCTGAGGACTCTGGGGGGACAGCAAATCACTGGGGAGTGAATGCTTAAATGCTTCCTGATACAAAACATTAGAAGTTAGCCACACTGCTCTTGCATTTAACCAGCCAAGCTAACCTTTATGTAATGCTTAAAACACTTCTAACCTGAATTAAGGGATTTTTCTCTCATTAAAATTGGCAAGCAACTGAAAAAGACTAGTGTGGAAGAGGTGAGAAATGCCATTTCTAAATCCTGAAAGAGCCAAGCAAGCCATCCATGATTACCTAACCCAAATGGCCTTACAAAGGACCACTGTGAGCGCCAAGTTGAGGGTCTGAGGACGCAAAGCCAAAGATTTCAAAGAGCAGAGGACAAGTATACCCTTTCCACTACTTGTAGTTTTTTCTGAGTGAGTTCCTCCCAACCACCCCGCCTGTCTGCTTTACCAAAGTCTATCTCATTCCGGAATTGTGCTCACAGACCAGGATTTGCTGCATGGTCTGCACTTCAGCTGACAGCATCTTAAAGTGGGGCATGTGGACCACAGAGGCCCTGAGGTCCCCCCGAACTCTGTCCCAAGCACAGGTAGCTGTGCCAGCACAGACACATGGAGCTAGACCCACACTCTGAGCTAGACCTGCTCAGGTCAGGGCACAGGCTGCAGAACACAAGCAGATCTCTGAACTAGCCCTGACCTCATTAGCAACTCCAGTTCATACCAGCTGACATGCTGTGGAAGGAAACTGAGCAATTATGGACCTCATGCTGTGCTGAAGAAAATGGCAGAGCCAATTAAACTGATACCCCAATTTAGTCACACTGCCAGGGATCCGCCCAGGTAATAAATGTGACCTGGCACTTGACAAGGTCACCCAGCAGCTTTCTGCTTGGACACATCCTCTTTATCAACTGCTGTTCCTCATACGGAATTGCAGGCCTAGAGTTCCCTTTTTGTTCAAATCCAGATGCGCCTCAGTAGCAGCATGGCTAAATGTGTGTCTTATTTTCAATGGAGTGGAATTGCAACCTGAGATTCATGATCCATGATCGCTCTGCTCATCCTTCAGTTTGTGCTCAAGAGGCTGGTGAGATACAAGGCCCTCAATAAGAGCTTATCTGACAGTGAGCTGAGGTAACACCCCAGTCATCCAAATACATTAAAGTATAGAAATTAGCAAACCAGATCTGAGTGTTTCTTACTTGGAGAGTGAGAATCCCACCCTCAGTGTTCATCAGTTACAACACCTTTGAAACCAGCCACTACTGGATGTGAAAAGCTGTCAGAATGTCTCTTACACATGTATTTGCTGATAAACCAGACTGTGTTCTCAACCATGTATCTAAATATGTTATTCACAAAACTCAGTTAAACTTGTCAATGCCAGTGCATTAAAAGGCAGTGCAGGATCCCTAATGGTTAAACCCTTTAGCAAAGGATTTGACTGGACACAGAGTCTAATCTCTTGGAAGGAGACAGTTAAGGAGCATCTTCACTGTACAGGCAAAGTTAATAGTCCTTTCATTCCCAAGGCCTCTGGCCAGAGGCTGAAGGAGGATCACTGGGATACAGCTGACCTATTTGTGTAACTTGGTTTCTCTGACTATGACAATGAGAGCTGTGGCAATTTAATTCAAATTTTTTAAATGAGTTCATAATTGTAACAAATTCATAAAGGGTGGGGACACAGTTCAGTCAGTAAAGTATTTACTTTGCAAGCATAAGACCTGAGTTTGATCCCCAGAACCCACATAAAGAAAAATCTGGATAGGGTGCCAGTTTGTAATCCCAGCACTAGAGAGGCAGAGACTCACAGATCTCTGTGACATCCCTGGCACGCCAAGCCTACTTGCTGAGTTCTAGGCCAGTAAGGCACCCTGTCTCAGACAAAGACAGAAGGTAGATGGCATCTGAGGAATGATGCTTGACAATTTCCTCTGACCTCCACATACACAAGCATACCACCTGTGCATCTGTACAGGTGCCTGTACTTCCATATACACGTGTGACCATGCACACACATACATACACAGGTATACATACACAGGAAGAATGTATAAGCCCTAACTAAAAGAAAATCATCCATCAGGTGCTTTCTTTTTTCAAGATAGTCTCACTATGTACCTCAAACTCATGAGTCTTCTGCTCCTGCCTCCTGAGTATGAGGGTTACAGGCATGTGCCACCACATCTGACTCTGTGTGTGTGTGTGTGTGTGTGTGTGTGTGTGTGTGTGTGTGTGAAGTCACTTTACAAACACAAAGGCAGATCTCCTGGAGTCTGAAGGTTCCTACTCTACAGAAGCACAGACTTTGCTCAGCACAGGTGATGAGATCTCCTTTGCTTATTAGGAGGTCTGAAAATGAGCTAATTTTTAAAAATAAAATCACTTCTATCACAAAACAGAGCTTTCCAACCTAAAATGTCTAGATGAGCTCACATCTAGACATCTTATTACTTGGAAGAATAAGATTTCCTTTTCTTTTCTTTTTTGTCTTTTAGGTTTTATTTTCCTTCGACACCAGGGAGATTCTATAACTGTTTATGTTTTCTTTTTTAATATTTTATTATTTTCATTTTATGTGTATGAGAGTATTGTCTGCAGGTATGTAAGTACACCCATGCCATACAATGCCTGAGGAGATCAGAAGAGGGCTTCGGATCCCTTGGTTGTTAGCCACTGTGTGGGTGCTGGGGATTGAACCTGGGTCCTCTGCAAGAGTAGCCAGTGCCCTTAACTGCTCAGTCTTCTCTCCAACACCACCTTATATATTTTCTAAGAGAGACACATTTTGGTTGGATGGATACAAACCTCCACTGCTCTACCCTCCCAGGAGAGCTCTCGTAGAGCACGCATTCTTGTCATCTGGAGCTCAGGGACCTCATGACATCACTTCGCTTGTAGAGTCCCTACCACTTCACAGCCACTGGCCTGAAGCAGTCCAGGCTCCAGTCTCAGCAAGGCTGCACGGGACTAGGAGCTACCTTGGTCCTGGAATACTGAAGCTTTCCAAATCTGATTAATTTAATGTTCTTCCGGGACATCATTCCCTCTAAGAGATAAACAAGCGAGTTGGAAATAATATAATTAAAATATGCCATAACACTGAAATAAATTCTTGCTACAATGGAACAAAGTTGTTTATTTAGAAAGGACTGAGAGTTACGTGCACCCCACTTGCTTCTGATAAAAATTCTTAAATATCCAGAAGGATTAAGGATGTAGTACTTACTAGTAATAACTTATTTCCAATAAAAGTGATCTTTGGCTAAGAACCAACTAAAAGTTATGTAACCTGAATTAAATTCATCACAGCTGAGAAGGGCTTGCTTTCCAAAACTCCATGTCCTCCAGCAGACTTCCTAATAGCTACCTGATGGTGAGTTACTCAGAAGGCAGAAGAGAGGAGAGAGAGAAAGGGAAGATAGTGTCCATACTTTCTTAGTTTTAAGAAAGATGATCCCAAATAAGACTTAGGAAGTTGAGTCATTTAAAGTTAAATATCCCAGGTCCGTTTAATCTGTGCCCTACCCCCACCCCAGGAACTCAGGCATGTCATCCTGGACTAGCAGAAGTGCTCTGACATGAAGATGGTCAGCCAGGCAGACTCTTAAGTTGTCAGCAAATACCTGTTAGGAAAGAGTTGAAGATACTAAGTTCTGGCCAGTAAGACTGGTACACTGGGGAGCCCACTTGGCACAAAGGCAGACCCCACCACCCTGAGGCATCAGACCATGAGCTGAATAACAAGATCATCTGGGACTGGGGGTGCAATCCCTGTAGAAGGGTGGGTGATGTCAGCCCCACACTTCTTTCTACATGGCCTGAGGTACAGAAGATGGTAGCTCAGTACAGCTCACATTCCTGGGAACCAGGAAGACGGCAACGCAGAGTAGAGGAACGCTTGAAGTCTGTCTAGAGGAAGTAGGAGCCTTGGGATCCAGACATCCTATTTCAGTTCAGACTTGGGTCAGACTCAGGCTAAATGCTGCATTTTCAGGTGACCCATTTCACAATTCTCCATCAAAATCCACTTGTTCTTGATGGCTCAGGCTGTGCCTTGCAAATGAGGGCTTAGCACCTGTGGTCACATGCAGCAAGCAGGCAGTAAACCCCAGGGCAAAGAAGGATTGGAAGGTAAACACAAGCCTGAAATCTCATTCAACAGAGGCCTTTGACCTGAAAGCCAGTTTCCTCACCTGTAAACCAAGGCAACACCATGTCAGGATCATTCAGAAGATGTGCATGAAGTTCCTTGCACAAGGCCTAGCACCACGTAGATGCTCAGCCCTACCCCAGTTGCTGCTGGCAACCGCAGCCTAGATCTACCCTCCTGGATGGTACAAGGTTTATTAGTAAATGGCCAATCATTAGTTAAAAAAAAACAAAAGAGATGTCTGTTGAGCCTTGAAACAAAATACTCCTGTTATTTTAGATGATGTTCAAGAAGCTGAACTATTTTTAAATCTATAAAGCTTAATTCAGAATGGTAGTAAAAAGTTATGATTAAACATATAAAGAACAGACTCGTTTGAAACCCCGTGTTCTAAAACATCTCGAAATATCTCGAACGTGGAAAGTGTGTCCAAACCTAGCTCAACTTCCATCAAAGTTGAGCTGATTGCTTAGAGCAGTAAGGGAGAACTCTACCTTGCAAGCTTTGGCAGGGCCTCAGAGGCACGAAGGTCAGATCTGTGTTTATTGGAAATTGGAAGTTAGGATTTCAAGTCGGACTTCCAAAGTGGGGGCTTGATTAGAATTGGGCATTGATTCCAACACCTTACTTCAGATTGGAAGAAACAACAAGGCCGAGCTTTGAGATGAGAGGTTTGTCTGAGTCTCAGGGCAATCACTGATTTAGTTATAGGCTTGTGGAAATTATAGCCAAGTATTGTGTTCATACTAAGGAGGCACCAAAGACATAAAATCAATATAAAGATTAGAGACTTAGGCCTGGAGAGATGGCTCAGCAGTTAAAGAGAATGGCTGTTCTTGTAGAGAACCCTGGGATTTGGTTCTCAGCACCCACATTTTGGCTAAAAAGCATCCATAAGTTCAGTTCCAGGGAATACAACACTCTCCTCTGGTTTCTATGGGAATTGCATGCCCAGATGCACTTACATACATGCAGGCAAAACACTCATACACATAAAAATAAATGCAAAAAATTTTTGAAAAATAAAAAGAGATAGGAGACATAAGGAAATTGTTAGGGCTAAAGAGATGACCCAGCTGCTGAAATACACGCTACACGAGTGTGAAAAATCTGAGTCCAGATCTTCAGAGCCCACATAAAACATCAGGCAGGAAAGCGTACCTGGCATTCCAGCCCTGAGGTGCAGGAGATGGAGGATCCTGGGATTTGGTTTTCCAGCCAGTCTAGCTGAATTAGTAAGCAGGCTCCAAGTCCAGTGAGAGACCCTGTCTCAAAAAATAAGGTGGAGAACGATTGAGGAAGACACCTGACGTTGACTTCTGGCCTCTATGCAAACACATGAACACACTGACACACACCACACATATACACACACACCACACACAAAGAAAGCTAAAAAAACAGTTACATGTGCCTTAAACCAGCATGAGAAAAGGCAGCTAGATAGAGAAGTAATGTCAGTCTGTGTCAAAATTCAAGGATCTGGGGTAAAGCAAAGACCAGAAGCTGCTGCTTCATGAGTGCGCCAATAAACCCTCAGCTTGAGGTCCAGAAGGGAGCTGCCATCCTGCAATTCCAGGGTGCTGAAATCCCTTTAACAGACAAGCACTCAGTAGTCCCTGCTGGGCACCACTATGCTGGCTGTTAATAGTACTCCCACTTAGCCTTATGAAGACAAACAACACTCTTGCTTACAGCTAAGGCTTCCAGAAAGTCTCAGAAGAAGTAGTATTTATAGATGACTTATAATGGCCACAGCTGTCTTGTTACAGAATCTTTCCAAAGTAAAAGATTTGATAGGATTTTTTATAATTAGCAAGTCACTGAGAAATGTGTTTGTTTCTATGGCATGCAAAACATAATAAAGACATCTACAGTTTTGGACTAAATGTCTGAAGAGTGTTTTCAAAGACAATGTTTGTGCAACTGATTTATAAAAGGACTTGTGAGCCTATAGAGGAAAAATATTGAAATTATATTTAAATACTTAATTATCCAGAGACATAGATTATAGCACACAGATAATATACCTAGTATGCAATAAAAATATACCAATAAACAGATTCAATTAAATTGAACTGAGTCCTAACTGTGTATATATTCCAATAGAATTTCCTAGGTGCATCACAAATTAAAAGCACTAGCCTAGAAAGTAATAGTGTCTAATTAAAGTAGGATCGTGGCCATCTAAACATTTAAAATAAAACAAGGATAATAACTACATTGTAGTTGCTTATCATCAGGATCCTGAGAAAGTCTAACAAGGCTCTGACCAACAGCTAGTGCTGACTCACACAATGCATAGCTTCTGTAGTCTTTGAATATTTTACATATGCATATTTAATGTAAAGACTGGAGTTCAGACTGGAGGTGTGACTCAGTTGGTAGTTTGTCTAGAATGCATGAGAGCCCTGGATTCAAGCTCCTGTCCACCTGCAGGAGGCGACAGGAGGATCAGAAGTTCAAGGCGACACTCTACTACGTAGTGAGTTCAAAGCTAGCATAGGGCATATGAGACCCTGTCGAGAGAGAGAGAGAGAGAGAGAGAGAGAGAGAGAGAGAGAGACAGAGAGAGACAGAGAGAGACAGAGACAGAGAAGAAAAACTTCACCAGTCCTGACCTATGAAATAATTGTAGTTACTCTAGGCACCTCCTTTCAAAAAGTAAAATGAACCCTCTGTGATTGTTCCAGATAGTTTCAAATCTAAAATATATGCTTAATTTTTTTATTTCATTTTGGTTTTAGAAATAAATATTGGGAAAGCAAACTTCATGAGGAGATTTGAGCATTCCAGATGGAATTGTGGGTACCTGTGAAAGAGTACATAGCTTCATTTGACAATAAAATATTTAAAAGTAAATTTAAAGATAACCTGTCTAAGCATAACAAGTATTCTGTCAAAAACAAAATATTTGTAAATTACACATAAAATTATCCTTTCAAATTTTAGGTGAATAATAACAGTAAAACCGAAGAAACAAGCTCTTCATGGCTGAGCATGTTTTGCTCCAATTCTACGGTCTTTTTGGACCAAACGTTTGTTGGAGTTCACAGGTGAGGTTGGAGCTGGTTGTGTAGCAATCTCTTTTTCGAAGGTAAAACCTTCATCTCAGAGAGAAGCTCCTTAAGGCACAGATGTTCTTAGGGGCTCCTTAAGGTCAAGAAGTAGACACCTTAAAGACTAAGGAAGTCCCTGAAACTGATCAGATGCAGGAGGCCCCTCCCTCCCTAAGCATGTGTACACTGTAAGGACTGCTGAGAGATAACTGCAGAGAAGCTGGGATGCCTAAAAAAAGGTTCAGACCAGACCAGCCACCTGGGAGAGGCAGAGATAAGCCTCCGAACTGGCTAGAAGACTTTCAGACTAGCCTAACTGCCTGGATGAGGCAGATACCAGCTGAGCTGCCTAGAAGAGACCAACTGAGCCATGTGGAAAGGGACACTCTTTCAACCTACTGAGCTGCCTGAGGTTATGCAGTGCACTTGGGTTTCCTGCCTCTTTGAGCTGTCACTGATTATCACTGAATACTGATTGATTCACCAAGTTGGACTTTGATTAGGATCCTTCCTTTGGTCTGTCATTGGTTCCCTGTCTTGGTGTTCATCTTGCCCTAGGAATAGTCGCCCAACAGAGATGGTGTCCATTTGGACAAGGTCTACTCCATGGTGTCATGGAGCCCAGGCTGAGGTCTCCAGGTTCTGCCCTTGGTCTCCTTGCAGAACTGAATTAGAGTCTGGCCTGTTTTCATAGAGAAGACTCTGGGACATTCTCCCACAGATCTCTTCTGACACTGACAGTTCTTCTGAGCCTCTTTGGTTTCCTGTAAAATTCAGCAACTTTTAAATCATCCACAGTAATTTCTACTTTTTACATCTAGACTTTTATCAGTTGAGGCCCTTGCCAATAATAAACCAGCTGGTATGTATCAAAAAGCCTAGCTATTCCTAAAGTTATTTAGATATTCCTAAAATTATTCTACTTCCTTCCACAAGCATTTCTAGCTAGCCTGGTCTTTGAAACCTCTAACTGTGGCAGTCAACTCAGAAAAACACCAGACCTCCAAGGTGAGAAGGAAAGGCTTCCTGTTTTGAAGAAACTTTAACTTCAAGAAGCAATGGAAAGGGCTAAGGATGCACTCGGAAGTATAATACTTCCTAGCCTGTATGAAGCCCAGGGTTCGATCCCTAACACTTGACAAGTAATAGTAACAACAATAACAAGGAATTTTGATTTGCCAAGAGACAATGGAATTTGGAGGGTCTCTCTAGACATAAAAGACCCAATTTTAAAGTTCTCCACATTTTCCTTTTGCCTTAGCCAATGAATCTCTTAAGGAAGGTATTTGGGCAACTGAAGTTTTCTTCTTGTAGGCTGAGCATGGTAGCACACGGTTTTAATCCCGGCACTTGGGAGGCAGACGCAGGTGGATCTCTATGACAATCAGGCTATTCTGATCTATGTAGTTCCAGGCCAATTGGGGCTACAAGGAGACCTTGTCTCAAAAAAAAAAAAAAAAAAAAAAAATTTGTTTGAATTTTGTGGTGCTTCTTCATATAATTAAACAATGGAGACCTACAGTTAGAGAATGTCATCCTCTTTCTTCTAAGACATCTCTCCAATAAACTTTCTTGATTATATTCACAGACATCCTAGTAAAGTCATACCATATAGAAAGACTAGCAAACATGTGGGGTAAATGGGACTGAGGTTTAGCAAAGATGAATCCATGGGAGTGTGGGAGCATCTTATTTGTTCCAAAGTGTTGATCTTACGCCCCATATCCAAGAGCTCCCAAGTAGATGGGTCAGCCAGTTGCAGACCACAGATAAAACTTGTGGCTCTAAAAGAATGGGGATGTTTACAACAACCATGTCCCCTAGAGCAGACCTTTGGCTCAAAGGAGGGGAAAAGAGACACCTCCAAAAGTGTTGATAAATGACCTAGGCCAAACTTAGTCCAAAAGGTACTGGTCTTAAAACCTCAGAACTTCTCAGTGCTGGCTTAAAAAATGGGCTCATTTCAAGGCTCCTCTCACTGGGGATGATAAAAATGACAGGTATAGACATTTTTAAAAGGGGCTGGAGAGATGGCTCAGTGATTAAAAGCACTGGCTGTTCTTACAGAAGACTCAGGTTCGAATCCCAGCACCCCCAAGGTGGCTAACAACCCTCTGTAACTCCAGTTCCAGGGGAACTGAGGCCCTCTTCTGTCCTCCGTGAGTACTGCATGATGTGGTACACTTACACACACGCAGGCATAACACTCATACACATAAAATAAGAATAAATTTTTTTTTAATTTTTTTAAAAAGAAATATTAAAACAAGAACAATGTTAATAATGAATGACACTGGGAAGGTAGCTCAGTGGTAGAGTTTTTTCCGGATATACAACGGTGTATACAAGGGTTCAGTCCATGTAGCCGGGGTATAACCATAGCACCAATAATGATAAAATGAGGATGAGGTAGGTGTCCACCAAGGACAAATATTTCTCAATTCTGATAGGCTAGCCAACACATATCTATAAAGTATTCCTTGTTCCTAGCAGATAAAACAAACTCAGCTTTTAAGTGATTATGGCGGAAGACCACCATTCTTTACCTGTGCAGAGCCACCACCCCAACCTTGTGGTTAGGGCACTAGGCCCAGTGGATCTCAGGGGAGGGCTTTGTCAGCACGAAATCAAGCTTGGCTTCAAATTGTTCCCTCGCTGTGCCTAGCATCAGCCCATCTGCACAAAGCAAAGATCAGTGTCCACCACAGAGATGTCAGGTACCTTGTGAAGCTTCATCAGAACTCCAAGTAGGAAAACTGGTCAGATTAGACCAGAAACTGGAGGCTTCACTTAAAGCAAGGCTTGGCTAAGATGGGGTGAGAATCAAAGCTCTACCGTCAAGGAGAAGAATAAAGAACGAGGCCTGGAGACGGTACATTTGAATCTTAGAGAGTAACCTGTCTGTTGGAGTTCTCCACTGAATTCATTGATCTCCTGGATTTTTCCATAATGAACAATTAAATCAAGACAATGAGGAGACAGTGACGTCCGTTCTCCATCAGGGGCAACAAGCAGAGTATGGGGCAAAGCAAGAAAAGCATGACCATACATGATAATATAATAATAAAATTATCACTGTCATAAGCCTTCAAAAATAAAGTTCCAAAGACATCCTGTTTACATGAGGACTAACAAAGTTAAAATAGATTAGTGGACTATTGGTGAGCAGCCACTCAATGCTAGACAATTCACAAATTTCTCTTTCATTGCTCACAATATTTGAGTGCCATTAAGATCATTATTCTGATTTTTGGTATTAGAGGTGATGGAAACACCAAAAAACTTAAGAATGCTATTCTGATATCCCAGATTATGTAACTGGGGAGTGATGGAGCCTTAATTTAGATCTAGGACACCAGGTGCCAAGCCTGGGCTGCTTGACTCAATCACATGCCTCCAAACTGAGAAAAACTACAAAGAGGAAAAACCAAGTGTGCCTGTGGGAACAATGCTCAGCCCCAAGGATAGCCCAGGTCTCGGACTCTGAGCTGTTCATTTGCCCCCTAACTTATATCTGGGGCTTTCTCTTTTCCTGTTTCCCTTTTCCTGGACTGAATGCAGCTATGCAACTGTGTTGCATTTTCCAAAATCAGAGGCCCAAGGAAAAGCCACCTCATCCTGTGCTGCTAGTTCTGCAAATAAGACAAACTATGCGCAGTCCTGAGGTAAGACTGTCTTCAGGAAGGCTGAGGTGAACTGAAACTGCTCAGCCTGAACATTTCCCACAAATCCTTAAAGTCCAATAAAGTCACCAGAGGAACCAGAACATGGGTAACTGTCAGGATCACTGCAGGACACTCTGTGGGAAGGTAGGGAAGAAGCCCTCATTCACCACTTATGAGAATGAATAGGAAGAAGGCTTGAGAAAATTAAGTGCCTTTACCATGTTGCAGGCCACAAGAAAAGTTATATAAAATGTGTCAGGAATAGGGAATTAAAAAGTCATGAGATATTTCTGAGGCCCTGATACATCTGCCTTCAGCCCAGTGAAGGGTCTCCAGGAATGCCTAGACCTCACAGCTGGTGAAAAATTTCCCCTAAAGAGGAACACAGATGCAGGGATGTGGGTACCACTGCCTAGTCACCCACAGGTAGGAGGAGGCATCACAAGGGGTCAGTCGTTTTGCCACATTGCCATGGTTGGCAGAGAATGGATTGCAAAGAGAGAAGTGGTCTCATGGACCAGCCTCAGGAACTTGATAATGACATGACTTATGAAGCACTGTCCCAAGAGCTTTACCTCTGCCACCTCATTTAGTTCCTAATGAAGACTTACTAAATACAGACTAAATTCCTATTAGTGGGGCAGAAGGGCCTGCAGGTCAGAGAGGCACACCTATGAAACCTTTGTAAGTTCCCAGCAGCTCACATAGACAATTTGTGGAGGGAACCCTGGGCCTGAGCTTATTCCCCTGTGCCAGGGTGCCTCCATTCAACTCCTCCCCTCAGCGGAGCCCAGGCTGGCACAGGCTTAGAGTCTAGCCAGGCAGGGCTGCAGGAGCAAAGACGATGCTTTAAAAAGGCTCGGTCACAGCTACCGTGTGGGGAAAGCAGTTGCCTCGATGTTTACACTGAGTTATTTCATTCTCACAACTGTCTGGTCGCTGTGATTATCCCCACTTTATAGCAGAGTGCACCAATGTAGGACAGAGGACTAAGTGGCTCCAGCGGTCAAGATGCCTCCCCAAGATGCTCACGAGGAAACTGGGGCCTGGGCAGGTTTTCTCTCACCTGGACACAGCACCTGGCGAAGGAAACTAGGGTTAACCCATCAGCTCACTCATTTCGTCTGCCAGCGCTTGCTCTCACACACTATTCAAAGCATCCTTAACTTTTCTTGTGTGATTTAAAATGCACCGATGCTTTTCTTGCCAAAACTAGTTGATCATCTCTTCCATGTCTCACCTTTACAGAAACTAGTCAAATGTTAAGCTCTTGAGAATTTTTAGCTGATTTTATCTTTGTTTGTCCTCAAAACCTTTCACTTTATGCTGAAGCAGCTGGTGAGGAAAAGTGAAGTAAGCTCCTACATTTTCTGATCTTACCCTATGTGCCCCACCAAGGCCCTATCAGGCATGATGGCTGTTCCTGTAGGCTGATGGACAGAGCATGGAGATTTGTCATAGCATGTGTCTGTGGGAGACTACAAAGGTGCTGGGAACATAGGTATAAATGTAATACATGTTATGCTTTTCTACAGCAGAGGAGAAATTGTTACTATTTTATCTCATTGCTGGCTACTTCGATTAAACTGCTACTTTCTGTGTCCAGTAGTGGTGCATGCTTTTAATCCCCACATTTGGGAGGTAGAGACAGGCAAACCACTTGAGTTCACAGCCAGCCTATCTACATAGTGAGTCTAGGCCACTATGTTATCCTTTCTGATCTTTTTATAACAGGCCAGAGTAGTTCAATGATTCACTGACCTCAAAAATCAGGTAACAGCCCTAGTGCATTATTGGATTAGAACGTGATGGTGGGGCATCACTAATGATGAAATGTATGTCCCACCATAACTCCAGCTTTTCAAGTAAAGTGGAAAACAGTGTATCTACACAGAGTGAGTTTTGTGTCATAGTCCCTTCCTCAGTTTAACAGGGGAGTCAAGAATG